TTAATGATAATGAGTAATGGTAATAACAAATTATTAAACTATCGTAGCCAAAAACAGGCCAAGTAGAGCATCTTATTCAAAAATAATACAAAAATTAAAATCGTGTACATTACACCCAAACACCGCAGCGCTCGAGTTTCAAACATACGGGTAACTAGCTGTACAGAACTTGCTGAGTAAATTGAGGGCGCAATTGCAAACGATGGTGCTGAGCGAAATTTGATTGGCTAAATCTATGGCAGCCATCTTGGATGGTACACACACACACACACAGTTCTGCGTATTTCGAACATCGAATACATTGCGGTTATTCTTAAATACCTCTATGGCTTTTATGTATACATTATACAGTTAATAAAGTGCGCCCTCTCTAATGAAATTGGTTTTTGTACTTTCAAAGAGTATAAAACTGAGTATAAAACTGCAGTTTTATACTCTTTGGTACTTTGCATCTCGCACACTGCGATCGATCGAGTAGGCTAGGTCTGAGGTATGTTTGCTTAACTGTCAAAGTCTCGGTCAGAATCATTTTTTTAACAGATTTGAAATCATTCCTAAGAAATATTATATTTCACAAGTGTCAATACTAGCAAAGGAACTATCATGTCGGCCGTTTTTATGTGTGATAACAGAACCTAAATCGAGGTAAGGCTAGGTCTAGCCGTGCCTAGCAGTGTTGGATAGGCTAATGTTTTCGGCGCCTACTGCCGTATAGCAGCGCTATACGATCGTTGCTACTATGTTTTTTCGCAGACCTATCGCAAAATCAATCATTAAAAAATCCATCCGCATTTATTTTTTGTGTGCAACACAAAAAATCAAATTATTATCTTATTTTACCTTTTTTTCATGTTTAGGAATGTCTAAATTCAGTTAAATTAGCAATTTATAAATCTTTATAACATTATATAAAAATCAATTTTTTCTTACAACTGAAATCTTGCCGGAAATGGGGCTTTAAATTCTGGCCATTGGACTGGAAGCGCTCCGGACGGCGTGCAATTAACTCGCCACGCGAGGCCTATGATGCTATGCCTCGTTTGTCGGATGAAGCAGATTGGCCGCGTGCCATTATTTTCGTATGCCATACTGTAAATATGGCGCAACAGGATGAAGGTTTGTAATCTCAGACTATCTTGTCTTTTGAATGCAAGAGTCAACTGCAGTCAGGCTAGACTACTGTATGTAGTGATATGTTACGGTACGCACTACTTACAAATTCTGAAACCAAGCAAACTGACATTGCAGACAAGAATACCCGTACTCGCGCGAATAAGCGCCCCGTTTGAATAAGCGCCTCTCTCGAATAACCGCCCCTCCTAACGTGAAAATTGCCTTAAGCGCCCCGTTTGAATAAGCGCCACTTACTAATTTGAATAAGCGCCCATCATAAGATTTTCTTTTTAGCAAGTCAAATAATCCAATCAATCCTCGGACTGTGGTTGTTGACATGATTTGAGCTGTAGAGTGGAAACACATTCTTCTTCGTCAATATCAAAATAAGGATATTTCTCTTGGACAGATGAGAGCTCCGATCCCTGGACAGACATTATGTTTCCAACTTTACTCTTTTTACATATTTGTCTATGCCTAGTCCTCTTTTTCTTTTCCGACCTTTAGCACATTCTCATCTGAGTTTTCAAGAAAAAATACAATGATCCTGCCATCCTGCTAATCTCAATCGGCCGATGGCCAACAAGTTAACCACTACCGTACCCACCACCACTAATTGCATCTGCTATTCTGCTGTTATGTAAATATTCACAGCATTTTTGTCATGAGCCATGTTCTCTGCAGACGATTATATTTTTCGCCTAAACACCATTTGTAATGTCCTTATATAATATGTTTTCATTCAAAAGTGCCCCTTGAATTTAATAATTTCCCATAAAACCCCTCGATTTTCATCTATTTCCATAAGCGCCCCTCAATTTCCACCCTGTTTTCATAAGCGCCCGTTTAAATAAGCACCCCGTTTGAATAAGCGCCCCTCAGAAAGTGCAAAAAAAAATATTTTAAGCGCCCGGGGGCTTATTCGCGCGAGTACGGTACTTTCTACAATAAACTTGACGATACAATGTTGTCTCAGGCATTCTCAAAAAGGAAATGTAGGTCTGTCACGCCAAAATTGGTCCGGGCCAAAAAATATCCGGCGGACCGATTTTGGCGGCCAAAATCGGTCCGCTGGACTAATAAAATCGGTCCTCCAGATTGATTTTAGCCGCTAAAACAGGTCCCGCTTGGATAAAATTGGTCCGCGTCGACCTGGCCACTCCATTTGTAACTCGTCTGCTGCTGGTAGTGTATGATTGTTTCTCCCGTGGAGTGGAGGAAAGTATGCTTCTCACTTGCAAAGTCTTTTGTAGTGACGGAATGATTCGTTAAGCTTTTGAGGAAGTGTTTTATCAAACCACTGGTAATGCATTTCCTAGGCCGATTTTGGTCCCGGACCAAATTTTTCCTGACATCTCATTATTGATTTGGAAACCAGCTATCGGGAAACAAGCAGCGGGAAGGCTCAATAGCAATGGTAACCGCCTTCTGCCATTGTTTTTGGCTCCTCGTTTAAGAGAATAAGAGCAGTGGCGTATCTAGAAGTCTTGAAATGGGGTGGGAGCTGATGGGGCGCGAAGGTAAAGGGGGGGTAAAGGGGGGGGGGGTTCGATGATCAGTTGAGCTGCGCTAATTCGCAAAATAAGGTGATTTTAGGTGATTTTTAACTACCTCACCGTAGATACGCCACTGAACAAGAGAATCCATAAGTAGACATGGAACTCTGATGATAAGACTGTGACACAGATTGGCCACACCATTATACATCAGAGATGGTACAACTCACTCAAAAATATAAGAGTCTGCAGAGTTGCCGATGTTTGCATCAATCACAATCTTGCTGTAGCAACAGTGCGTCTGTCGCTAGTAGCCTTGAAACAACAGACAGTAACCAAAGTATGACACATCAAGCTGCAAGAATATGACTACCTCCGGCCCAGTTCAGCACAACCATGGGAGGCAGATACCATGCACTTTTAGATTTTGATGATGAGACTGACATAATACAGAGTGAAATAACTTTACCAATGCCGTGAATGAAACCGCAGCAAGCATCTTGGTCTGAAGAGAGGTACCTCTTGTTAACCAGGGAGTTGATTTCAAAAAGAGCCAAACAAAATTCTCACTTGAGTATCACCAGCTAAACAAAGAAAGTAGAGCAAGCTAAAAAATGAGAAGCAATGGTTGGTGAAATGTCAAACGAACTACTGTATAGGCTGCTGCAAGTAGGCAGGACATTTACCAGCTGAAAAATAAATAAATAAATTTACAATATGTAAACATTCAAGTTGATCCCGTAGTTCATCCTGTCACAAAACGGGTGTCTATAAAACGAAGACCGAAGACCCAAAAACGAAGACCCCTATTTTTTTCTCTTTCAATTTTATGATAATAAACCAGGCCGTCACAAAATCAATATTACGAAATTTTTTGGGCGTCTGTTTGTCAAATTTTCAAGGGTCTTCGTTTTATCAAGAAATACTTAAGGGTCTTCGTTTTATAGACACACACGGGGTCTACAAAACGAAGACCAGAAAAACGAAGACTTAGGGCCTACATTTTTTTTTCTCTCAATCGTGATAAAAATAATGTTTTTAAATCACTTCATGCTATGTATATAGTATTCTTCTATTTACCATATTTGCCTGAATCTGAGTCAATAATGATTTACTCTCTATTCTAGTTCAAAAGCGGCAACCGAGTGTTGTACGTCCACGGCTGCAGGCAGAGCGCGTCTTGGCGCTGCTACCCTCTAAACGAAAGTAAGGCTTGGACTAGCGGTACGCGTATTTTGGAGGGCCTACAAAAACCTTGAATATTCACAAACTTGTTCCATGTTAAAATAAACAGTAGGAATGCTGTATAGTGACGCATATGTGCATCATCGGCCATTTGGTAGTGACACCAACTTAGGATGGATGAGATAATTTAAGGGTCTTCGTTTTGTAGACACCCATGGTGTCTACAAAACGAACGAATACCCGAAAAACAAAGACCTCCTATTATTTCTCAATTATTGAAAGTATTTCAAAATCATCATAAAACAGTTGCTAAGTACCTATTTCATTATTTCTTCACGATTGAGAGAAACAAATGTGGGTCTTTGTTTTTCGGGTCTTCAGTCTTTGTTTTGTAGACACCCATATAGGGTGTCTATAAAACGAAGACCCTTGAAAATTTCACAAACAGACGCCCACAAAATTTCGTAATTTTGATTTTTTGTCAGCCTGGCGTATTATCATCAAAATAAAAGAGAAAAAATAGGGGTCTTCGTCACACCCGTCACACAACAGGCCCTTATCTCATTAAAAAAATAGTTTTATTCTTTTTGGAAGACAACATTTTCCCTCACAACACACATCCCTTTCGGCCAATTCGTGGGCGAAATACTTCACTTTTAATACCCCGACACATTCTCGCCCCCGGGCCCCCTGACTCACCGTTCGCCACTGGTGAGTTTAAAAAAATTCTCAACCTACTCAGGTATTGTGGAATAATTCCAGTGGCGTAACAGCTATAAGCTCTCATAAGCTAAAGCCAGGAGCCTAAAAACTTAAGGGGCTCGGAAAGATTATCAACATTCTTCTTCGCCTCAAATCAGCTCGCGGGGCCTTTTTAGGAGAGGAATGTTGTTTTTTGTTTGTTTTTTTTTTTTTCTTTTGTAACGTAAAACGGCAAAAACGCCGAAGGTGGTTGGATTTTGACATACCCACCTGCTCGAAGAAGTCCAGGCTAGTGGTATCAGGCCTCTTTGTTACGCCACAGGGTGAGTCTAGGGTAAATGACGTCACCAGTATCACGAGTATAAATGGATTCAAATGGATTCACTATTTTACTAAGTCGGGCTTTTTGCCTGTGAGCACTAGGCGACATTAAAAACGATCCGTTTTTCGCGAGCCGTGACGTTGCTTTCCGTAGGATCGCGTCGGCCGACGAATGTCGGGCGCAGCGAATGCCCGGCATTAAATTCTGCATTAAGTCCTGGCTAAGTCATTCATCGTGTCTCAAACTGTTAATTAATTACGTGCTTAGGCCTACCCGTAGAGTCAAATCCCAGACCAACCGATCCTCTACTACCAACGAGCAGTTCATAGGTTGAAGATAAGTCGATAGGAAATCGGTAGATGCCTTGATCGTTTGTCGTGAAAAATACGTAACTGCAAAACACAATATTTATTTTTTTTTTATTGGCTTTTCCTGGTAATAGCAGGAAAGGCCATTGTTTTTGTTCTAATTTTTGGCTTTTCCCAGCAGCTCTCAATCACTGATTTACTATGAACTAAAAATTCACTGACCTCGCTATTACCATTGCAGCTATAGAGTTCGAGTCTCACGAACCTCACATTAGTTTACATGTTTGTTTTTTTTTTATTTTACTTGATATTTTCTTTGGCTTTTCCTGCGTAGCGTTAGCAAATATAGCGTTTGTTTCTGTTTACTTTTATTCGTGTATCCCGTTTTCCTATGGTTTTCACAGGGTTTTCCTGACCTGCACTTTGGTCACTTCTTCAAGCATGACGTCATTCTAAACGTTTTGAATAATAGTAGCAGTTAGTTAGTTTTCGGGGTTTTCTAACTTCATAATTTTCCTTAGTAAGATTTAATTTTTGTTAGTCTTTTTTGTGTTTCTTTTCTTTTTGTAATTTCAACATTGCTTCTCATTATGGCAATGAGGAAGAGCCCTGTCCTGTTTTACAAACAGACATAGCAAGTCTATAGTATAGTATTATTAACATTATTATTATCATCAATATTATTATTCAGATCAGCTGATCTGTTTTTGAAATATCTGGTCTGGGACGTTTTCCCTTTTAATTAAATCATTTCTTTTCCTAGACCTTGAAAAACTATTATAGAAAGTTGCATTTAGACCCATTGATTAGGTTTTTGAGATATTTAAGTCTGGGACGTCAGAAATTTAAATGACCCTCAAATTCACACCCTAAAATGGATCGTCACCAACACATAATAATTTCCTCCTTATAACCTATTCATACTTTCCCTTAAGTTTCATTCAGATCAGTTGGCCCGTAGAGTCTTTGCTCTTAAATCCCTTTAATTGGTCCCTACATCCACACCCCACTCTAGATTGACACTAAATATTATAAGGCACATCTTTGATATATGTTCTATGCTTCGACAAAGTATAGAAAAGACCCAAGCATGGAAAGTGACCAACGTGCCGGGTGGAATAACCCAATGCAAAAAGATAGAAAAAACGATATGGAAGAACAAAGACAAAAATTAGAACAAAAACAATGAATTTTCCAGCTACTACTGGGAAAAGCCAATAATAATAATAATAATAATAATAATTATTATTATTATTATTATTATTATTATTATTATTATTATTATTATTATTATTGCTATTGTTATTATTATTATTATCAAATTTGTACAACATTGCAGAATGCAAAATTCGTTATTATCTAGATAAACTAAAAGTTTACTAAATTATAATTGCAATTTTATAGTAAAATCTGTTTATGTGATATTCGGGATATTGCATAAAATTTATTGAAAAGATAATGACATGAATTTCGGATGATATTCAATTATATAGACTTTTGGTCGGTTGGATATTATCGTTATTTCTTTAGTTTCAATCTAAACTAACCGAGTTTGGCGGTGGAATTGTAGATCAGTGACATCATCCAGTGAAAAGGTGAACAAAGTGTGGTGTTCTCCACTGCAAATGCTGTAAACTCGCATCTGTTTATCAAGACGACTGAAGTAATACATCTGACGAGCTATATCATCAATATCCATACATGCTGTAACTAGCAAGTAAGAGGGAATCGTGTAAATCGAGGAATATGTATTATTTTACCAAACCCAGCAAAACATAAAACGTCATTATAACATTCGCAAACTTTGTGGTAAAGCCCTTTTCAGACTATGAAATTTTGTTTGACAAAACATAAGACATGCCTAAATATATCACATATATGCACAATATATATATGGGCATACAACAGTTTTTTTTTCAAAAGTGTGAAAAGGTCTTAAAAACAGTTGCTAATTATTCAACACCGAACAATTATTATAACGTAAACTTGTTAGCTGGGAAGTGTAACATACAATCGGATTTATTAGTGATTGGCGCAGCGGTTACGATTCGGGCTTCCAAAATTCAGGTCAGAGGTTTGGTCTCATGCTTTTCAATTGTGTTTTTGGTTGTTTTTCCCACCCAGGAATAGCACCTCGAACGCCAATGCTCTAAAAGTGGTTTTTTTTTTTTTGGTTTTTTTTTTTTATTTGTTTTTGTTTTTCCCACCCAGGAATAGCACCTCGAACGCCAATGCTCTAAAAGTGGTTTTTTTTTTTTTGGGGTTTTTTTTTTATTTGTTTTTATTATGATTATTATTGTTTCGGCAATAAAAAAAATGAAAAACAAAATGCGTTGTAGGGCAAGGGTCCTAGTTTAAGAAATGTCTTTATCCAATCCCCACAAAAACAAAGACAAAACCTAAAGCAATAACATTTAACATTAAAACAGATTAAATATATCAAGAATACATTTTTGAATAATTTTTTGCATAGAATTAATCAATAAATATATGAATGATATGAAAGAAATAAAAGATTTCCGAACATAGTTATAGGTATAAAAAGTCAAAAATCGAACTACTGTAAGTGTAAAATCCTATATACAATTTTCTGCAGGCTCGTATCTAGGGAGTTTTGGGGGTTCAATCGAACCACATTTTCTGCTTATCGTCTGCTTGACATCAGGAAAGGCCATATATAGCCTATATATATATATTTTATATATATATATATATATATATATATAATTTTAATTAAGTGGCTCTTTTTATTCCTTCTCTGAGGTATTTTGGGCTTAAATTGTTTAAAATGCGATACATAAGATTTAATTTTAACTGATTCACTATAAGTTCAATTGGAAGCCAGTTTAATTTGGAAAATTCATTGGCACCAATGTGAGCCCTGGGGATACACCAAAAACTACATCTCATAACTTTATTTTGAGAAGATTGTAACTTTACTTTTAGCGATTTTCTTAAACTAGTATATATAAAAATGCATTCGTAATCATAATTGCAGAGATAAGACTGGAGGCTAAAAATTTAGAGTGTAAACGTTAAGGTATTGTCTACTTCGGTATAATAATTTAACCCTTGAATTAACATTTTTTTTGTTCATTGGAATACATTTTATATGATACGATAGATCACATTCATCACATTGAATTCCACGTTGATTAGATCTTACACAACGGGTACATACACCACACGGGTCATAAGTTGGGCCGGGATTAATCGACATGTCAATACAATGAATGCTAAGTAGGTTTGGCGGTTTATTGGAGTCTTAACATAAACACTATTTCGACTACTTGTATTATTGATAGGATACCGCTGATGAGGTTCTCAATACACATCATACAGACCAGACAGGAATTAATGATGGTGTGTTCAATTTCATTCACCTGCTGTAGTACGGTAGTAGTTTATCATAACTTGTTTATTAAAGAAACAATTCAGAGTTAAACTTGGCCTATATTAAACCCTCCTTGCCAAGAACCTGGTTACGGGCCTGTTCTGAACCATAGTGTGTGATGCAATAAATTTTTCAGTGACGTACCGGTATACACCCTATTTTTTAAAGGGAGCAAAAGATTGAATTTAGATAACTCGCGTCTCCTTAGACTGTTATAAATTTTGCTGTTAATTTTAACTCTATCCAAAATAGTTACATAATAGGGCGTTCTGCTGAAGAGAAGTTTTACTTCATCAAACAGATTGACCTTGTATTTAATATGCAATGACCTTTATATTTTAATTTTATTGATGGCGGAATGCTCATTCACCCACGTTACAGTCATTACACGCGCTATATTTTGTTCAACCTATTTCACAATTTTAAATGCCAAAAATATTTTATTAAACATAGTAATTAGTCGATTCGCTTAAAAGACAAGTCGTGGACGACGAAGAGATTCAATTGGGTTTGTCCGTACAGGGCATAAAAGAAAAGATTAGGCCTCGCATACTTACAATCGCCACGATATATCTCTTCGGTATTTGTCCCATTCATGTCTGTTCGAAGTATACTCTTTTTTTCTACATCTGACCAATATACTTGATCGTTGACTTGGTCGTACGCCAATCCTAATGTCTTATTTGCTGGGAGGGAAACCGAGTGACTACTTATGTTCAATTTATCATCTTCAGTTTTTAAGTACGTGTAGATAATTGTATTCGGTTTAACTGTTGCAAGTACCATATAACCTACAATACGTGGAAAAAATCATTACTACCTCCACCAAGGAGGCTATGTATTCACCCCGTCTGTCGGTCTGTGTGTCGGTCTGGGCTGTCGGTCTGTCGTGTCTGTCTGTCTGTCTGTAGGCTGGGCACTCACTGCGACGACGGTCGTACAACCGCCGGCCGACCAATACAACTCTGCCTCCTCGTGAGCCTTAGACCAATTGTCGATCACAAGAATAAAATAGACGACCAGTATAGGTAAAGGCAACTTGATTTCTTGCTTCAAACAATGTATCCATCTGTAGATGTCTTATGAAGATAAGCCTATCCAAGTGAACATAAAAGGGTCGGGGACCAGGACATACCTTCGACTTTAAATTGACAAAGATAGAAAAGTGTTAAATACAGACACAATGTATACATAGGCCTAGGCCTAAAGTCCAGTTAGAATATGTAATTATGTATCGAAATGATATATTTATATAGGCCTATATATATACACATACATTATACGTATGTTCTTTAGTAAAGTAAATTAAATTTAACGTAGACCTAAGTAGACCCCTATATGAAAAAGGCATAGGAAGAAAGAAGGAAAGAAACTCGAAGCGGCTTATAACTGTATGCCAAAAGTGTTTATATTAATGAATAGCTCATTATTACATTTTATGAGTTTGTAGATTCTGGACACTGATCCTCAGAGGTCAAGGTGTCAAGCCTACACGTTTCATAATTCGACAAACGGGGCATATATTTTTTACATATTAGTAGACTCTAAATTCGATTAAATAAGCCTTTGAAATCCCTAAATTGTTAAAATTTTCGGGGGCTTCGCCCCTGGACCACTTTCGAAACCTTTTAATCGAAGCTCGACCACGCCCACATTGCTTTCGTGGGGGAATTCTGACCCCTCGTCGGGAGAACCCCCCCCCCGTCGGGCAAATCCTGGCGCCACCCCTGAAACGGGGTGCAATTTGTTTATCCAAAACGTTATTTTGATTGCCAATAATCCATTGTGGTCTCAAAGTAGAATTTTTCGCCATACTAAGCCATAAAAACTCTCTCCATGACCCTACCAGGAAATTTTATTCTGGGATCATTATTGAGGCTCTAGTTGGACCCTTGGTTCAGACTCCGTGTCGGACATGTCGGACCTCTCGTCGGCAAATTTCAGGAGCTAAATTGTATTAAGAAACATTTTTGTATTGTATTTTTGATATGACCATAGACCTAGTACATGTATGACAGGGGTGGCGCCAGGGTTTGCCCGAGGCGGTCCCCGACGGGGATACACCCCTGCTCAGGTCGTGTGGACGCTCACGTAACTCTACTGCCAAATCCTCCATCCGTCCCAGTATAATGGCAGGGTTACACTGCTACAAGGGTAAGTTGGAGAAGCCACTTCAGTGAGACTGGCTTTAAAAACTTCTCTAAATTGTTGAACCGAACTTATAATTGGTATTATAGTGAAGGGTCTGACAAAGGTTGTTTTAATGAGTTTATCGACGTACTTTCTTGAACGTACGAGTTTGTTCAGGTTTGAATACCCGATAGCATTGGTAACTAATTTAGTCTTCGTTATTTGTATTTGCATGTTTTACGAGGGTTTAAGAGATTATAATAATGACACCTTAAGTCAAAGTCTCAATTATATACTAATTCATTACAATAAATATTACCCCCTTCATTCTCTGCATTTGCGAAGTGAAGTGTGTAGATAAGAATCAACAGTGCAAGCATGATTAATGTAGCAGATATTGTCCGGAGTTCCTCTGAAAAGATGAATATAAACAAATAGATAAATAATAATAATAATAATAATAATAATAATAATAATAATAATAATAATAATAATAATAATAACAGTGCTCGAATAGGAACATGTAATAATCGTATCAATCATATCTCATCAGCGAAAGGTACCTTTATGCCAGTTGCATGGAAAATTAACTCTGGTGGGATTCCAACCTGCATTCTCGCGCTATCAAGGTGGGTATCATACCGTTTCAGTCAGTTGTATGAGAGAAAGTGCTTGAGAGTTAGATCTTCGCCCATATCCCTTAGGTCTGACTCTCCGTGGTCTAATGGGTATGATACACGCCTTGATAGAGAGAGACTGCAGACTAGAACAATAAGTTAAACAACAAGTTCCTTTTCGAGAACTGCTATCAATAATTGTAAATTTATATATATATATATATATATATATATATATATAAATCATCAAAGATAGGTAACTACAGTATTCGAATAAAGGACATGATGGTACATCGTGTAGCATAGCTCTCATCGAATGCTGTCCTATACATAAATAAATACATAATAAAATCTTTTTGCGCTGGCTATAGGTCAATCATTAAATATTTTCCTGATTTTTAATAATTGTACTACGGTATTAATTCTTCAATGCTTAAGGCTACATGGATGTCCTTGAGAAGCAAATGGGACAATAAACTTTCCCTTTCTGTATATGAATTCAATGGTGTATGAAATTTAAAAAAAAAAAGACATGGCAAGACAATATTGAAAGAAGTTATTTCAACTCAAAGTAATGGGTCTTTACGCTAAGCCCGCCCCCTGGATATTGTTGCCTAGATCTAACGAAACGACAACGCGTGTGCTTGTGAGACACGCGCGTATTTCTAGCCCTTTTATGATTGGTCAGTTGTTAAGTTTGATTGACTCTCCAAAAAGGTTCATTAGGTATTTCAAACGAACACGAGGATGTAGCAGACCTCCAGCGCAACACTTTGTCTCGGTCACGATCATGTGTAGAATTCACTTTTACAGCTCCAGTTCCGACTTCGAATTTACTTATTAAATACTTCAAGTGATCAAGAGTGTCTCAAATTTAATTATTGCATTTAACTAGCTAAAAACAAAGGGAATAAATACTAATAAACTACTATAACAAAAAAGTGAAATATTTTTCATTTCGACTGAATGACAAAATTATTAAATCAATCAATCTACTTAGCATCGTTTTTATACATAGGCCCTATTAAGAACATTTGAAATATTTTAATATCATAAGTTTTATTTTTCATTTTATTTTATTCATTATGGTAGGTTAATAACATTTGGTAAAATATGTAAGGATATCATAGAGATCTTCTTATGTGATGTAAAACTCGATAACAACTCAAAAGTGCAAGCAAAAAGCAATCATAGAGCCAAAGCAACAAAAGCAAAACTATATTACCATAATTGTCATTTAGTAGCTTTCTCGCGCAAAAGTTATAAAATATATATATGATCTTATCAATACATATTCACATTATTATCATTTAGGAAATTTTTAATGACTTTGTAATTACAATTCCTTGTCATATTAAGCTAAGGACCATATTTCACATTAAATATTTAGTAGTATAGTAGTATAGAAAATAATCATTATATTTTTCATCATTTTTGATAGCCTAGTATTAATTTTCTCTAAAGCCAAGGATGTCCTTGAAGAGACAATATGACAACATTTCAATTTGTATGAATTCAATAGTGTATAATTTCAAAACAAAATCATGGCGACAGTGTTTTTTCCTTCAAAAGAAGTCTTCATTATATGAAGAAGTACAGAATAATAATAAAAATAATAATAATAATAATAATAATAATAATAATAATAATAATAATAATAATAACAATAATAATAATAATAATAATAATAATAATAATAATAATAATAATAATTTCTTGAAAATAACGGTAAATTGTTAGTGTATAAATATGTTTTATTGTTGTGTACTGGAATGAAGTGTCGATATACATTATTTGGAAATAACTATAATTGAAAAAAAAAAAAAGGTGTAATATGCACTTACTGTTATATTAAGAGTTTCACTACCAACATAAGTTACTTTGCCAAGCCGAATGCTCATAAAATTGTATGCCTCTCTGGTCTAGGTATAGATTGAGGCTGTTCGGCAAGCCTGCACGTGACTGACGCTTCGCGTCTTAAACCTTTCCTGTCATTTTTCTACCCTCCTTATACACAAGTACTTTTCAATCAAGACAAACAATATTTTTATGTTGCCTACTAATATATAATATGTAAAGTACTTTTCAAAAAGTTATTTTATTTTATTTTATTCCTGCCAGCAAAAACGCGCGAGAGAACAACGACAAAGACGAAGAAATAGTGAGACTGGGGAGGGAAAAAGTTGTGCAAAAATTGCAATCACCGGAAAGGGTGTTCCCCTCAGACATAAAAATTAAACATCAATTGTAATAATAATAATAATAATTTCTCCAAATCGGACTTAAGGGAAATAGCCTAACGTCATGTTATTTTCCCCTTAACGTCGTTTTTTTTTATTGTTCTCTAATTTCTCTATTGTCTAAATTCCCCTTAGGTTTTTGTAACATAACTATAACATTATAAGATAATTATTATAAAAATTCAAACAACCAAAGTTATCAATCAGACAATAGCAAAATTGATATTACATTAAATTCAAAAATAATTAATTAAACAAATTTATTATCTCAATTTATAATTGCACTTCATAAACCTAAATATTAAAAATTCTAATTAAACAAGTCAAAACATACACAATAATAACGTTAAAGTTTAACCATCAAACATCAATTGTAAAAATAGAAATAACAATATAGGATCATTATTATATAAAATGTAAATATAGAAAATAATTAAAAATCAGACAATTGCAAATTATATTATACTTTAAAAGTAATTCATTAGAAGTATTATTTGGGCTAGCGGTCTTACAACATAAGGGTATGGAAAAAGCGTTCTTTTTTACGTTATAATCTAAGGCATTCACACCCACTATTAATAACTAATAATGAAAGCAATGAAAGTGGCAAATTATGTTTTTTTTTTGTTTTTTTGTTGTTTTTTTTTGTTGCTCATGGAAATTATAATCTTAATGCAACATAAAGGTTTGTTATATTAATACTCTTAATGTTATTTTAATTGATCAAGGCCCAGATGTAGGCCTATACACACTTTAGAGAAATGAAGTCCTCGTCTAAGCGAAATAACAAACGAAAATACAGGTTTCTCCCTCTAATTAAAGACCCCACTAATTAAAGACCAACGCCAGCTACCAATTTTTCTGTAGTCCCAAATTAAAAAATGTCTTTTATCTTCATTATTCAAATTAGAAACCAAAGCTGCTAAAGACTATGAAACCGGCCTGGTCCCAAAAATGCAGGAGTGGCGCCAGGATTTGCCCGACGGAGGTGGGGAGGCGAGGTCCCCGATGGGGGCAGTGGCGGCGCCAGCGGGGTGGTAGGGGGGCTTAAGCCCCACCGGACAGGTCAAGCCCCCCCCCCACCGGACAGAGCTCGTCGGGCAGTCAGACCATAAAACATATAAAAAAGGCCCACACCAAGCCAAAATATGTCTGTCACAGTCCGAGAGCGCCATTTTCGCCCATTTAGAGGTTGATATTCTTTTTAAAAAATCTCATTTGGGAGGGGGAACCCCCTCTCAATCAACCCCTTCTCCCAGCTCGAGCCTACGAGATCAAGTCGCCCCTGTCGGACAACTTAGCCCCCCCCCCCTCCGCCAGAAAATATATCCTAGAGCCGCCACTGGAATGTGGGGGGGGGGCGATTCCCCGACAAGGGGTCAGATTTTCCCGACGAAAGCAAAAGTGGGCGTGGTCGGTTTCGATTTAAGGACCGCGAAATGGTGCAGGGGCGAAGCCCCCGAAAATTTTGGCGATTTAGGGGTTTCAAAGGCTTATTTAATCGATTTTAGATTCTACTAATATGTAGAAAATACATACAATTTTTTTTTGCTCCCCCACAAATTATGCTTTTCTCCCTGACGGGGGGGGGGGCAGCTCTCCCGACAGTGGGACCTTCCCCCTCCCCGCCACCAGCCGCCCGTTGGCGCCACCCCTGCAAACATGGTCTTTAACTGGAACAAAGACCTGTACATTTATGAAAAGCCTTACCTGATATTGTATAGTACAGACAAAATATTGAAATGAATGACCAGGATGCTAAACCCTCTCTGTCTACCACTTACAATGTGGAACAATATTGTTTGTGTTTCTTTTATACAATTCAATTCACTCTGTTTGACCTCCAACAAGTTTATTAAAAAATAATATAGGCTTAAAATTAATACCAGTCGACATGAAATATTAATCTACTCAATCATCGAGCATTTTTTCTACTTTTTTAATTTACCTTTGTGCAATATTTAGTTTTAATAATGTTTTCCCATTTTTATTCGTTTTTCTACGTGATTAACTGCCTGCATAATAGATAATATCTACTGCCGGGAACTCACTGTGTCGTCCCAGCTAACAATACTACGTTGTTGTAGTTAACGTGTTAAAAACGTTATTTTGAAGCACCATAAGTACGTACTTATTTTACAACGTCATAATGTTTGAACGTTCCTGCAACGTTATTTTGTGACACACCAAGAGGATATAAAATATACTAGGATGACTTTAACAGAGTTTATATTTTGGTGACTTAATTGCTTTGGAGAGTAATTGGTAAACATGCATTGGTTGCTCCGTTTGGCTTAGCGGGTTTAAATCCTTAACCGACAAAATTGAAAATCAAAAAAATGATAGGCCCTATGGCAAGGATAATTTTAAAAGCATCTAAACACGGCTAAAGGAGCATTATATGGAGATCATGGTACACAATTGCCAGTATACACAATTATTTTAAAATTAAATGGGCCTATTTCAGTTGGTTGAAAATGTTGACGATTGAAGGTGGCCTCGATTACTCTTAAAAGCAGCATAATGAAAATGGTTAAATTTCATTAAGCAGCTTCTTTCGAAGTATGACTTATAAACTATGAACTTTGTGTAAAATTAATCAATTTGCCTTTTATCTGATTTTAAACTCATAAATTGCACAAATTATGATAATGAATGGTTTGAAAGAGCTTGTAATAAATCAACTATGCTTGAATACCTCAGATATAAAAACAAACCTTTCTTCGAAACAAGGCCTACCGGTATATATATGATGAAAATGACTTCAAAGGAGTCACTCTGAAGTTTAAAACAAGGTCTAATTGTTTAGGCTTTAAATATAGAACACGTTTCTATTAGAATGCCTACAATTTAATATACAGTAGGCCTGTCAGGAAAAATTTGGTCCGAGGCCAAAATCGGTCCGCCGGACCGATTTTGGCTTTAAAATTACCTGCCAAATATAGTCCACATAAGCCATGAATTTAAAAATGCACTATTTATAAATAATTCACATGAATATTGGGAGAATTTCTCCAATTGTTCCAGTTCTAAACACTCATTTATCTTTTCTCCATATTAAATTCCCATTCTTGGTTTAATTTTTGATAAATTTATTAAAGTCATGTGTACGGTTTTTTGTTTTATCTTTTCTTTTTTTCTTTATTTTTAGTAAGATATACATGTCTAGATATGCATACTGTAGTATAATAATAATAATAATAATAATAATAATAATAATAATAATAATAATAATATTATTATTATTACTATTATTATTATTATTATTATTATTATTATTATTGTTATTATTATTATTATTATTATTTTTATTATTATTATACATTATTGTATTTGGAATGTTTTTATTTCATTTGTCCGAAAGGCCTTTGATCCGAAGTAATTAATTCAAATCTAGACAAAAATATATTTGAAGAAAATACATGTTCGGGACCACCATGTAGGTCTATATTGGCTAACAATATACAATTATTGCTAGCATGACTTGAGCTCAGTTTATGTATATTTTTAACAAATTATTAGAAATTCAAAAGATTCCAAGCGAATGGAACGTAAGTATAACTTCCTAATGTTTAAGCAGGAGACAGAAAAGATTTTAATAAAAATAGGGGAATTCAACTTCCATCCATTGTTTGGAAAATCTTAACAGATTTATTTACTTTCGGATGGGAAACAGTTAACTACTTTCTCACTTTACAAAGTAGACACATTGACAGCGAATCTACTAATATGTAGAAAATACATATAGGCCTAGGCCTATATTTTCCCCGACGAATTGTTTTTTTTTTTTACTCTGGAGTGGGGGAAAACTGGGGAAAACAAATTTTCTAGGGGGAATTTTCCCCCACCCTTGTTCCCCCTGTAGTGCCGCCGCTGCACATTAAAAGCAAATAAAAGAATTAAGCATTAGACATGATTCCTATCATAGTACATTAAGTTTTAATTCATATTACTACTGGTAGTTCAACTGAAATTATTTACAGATGTGAGTTAGCCAGATTTTCGTACATTTCGCAAAATAAGGGAAATATATCTTTTTAAAGTGGTGAGGCAGCGAAAATAGATGCGGGAGGTGACAAGAAACTAGTTTTTTTTTTTGTTTTTTTTTACTTGGCCTTACTTATATGTTATTAGGGAAAATATTTGGGAATATTGTTTAAGTTAGAAAAGTGACCTTTCTTAATTTACTCCATAAATTGTAAGGAATTGTTTTACTGCCGTATAACCTGCATTACTGGAAAAAGGTCACTAATTCGAATCAACGAGCCTTCAGACCAATGGACCTTCGGACTAAAGACCCTTCGCACCAAAGGTACTCACCCGATTCAAGAGTAGCTAGTGGCATGGGCGTGGCATACAGAATTAGAAGTGACGACCACTTCACTCCACACAACGTACCCATCTATTATATTATTGTGTATCTCGGCTTTTGGTCTAAGCATAGAGAAAGAAAATAAGCATATGTTGTCATTAATCGTAGTGAGTAGATAAAGATGGAGAGCAGGTTACCAGTTTTAGACGATGTTGAACAGTTTTTGAAGATGTATTATGTTCCGATTGCGTCTGTACTTGCAACAGGTAGGCATAGCCTGTAGGCCTAGTATTAGGCCTAAAAAAATTGCCAGCCTAGGCTAGGGCCTAGGCCTGTACTCTGTGCTGGTTTAGCCTAGCCTAGTTCAGTTACAGCTACTAGACCTAGACCTCCTAGGACAGGACCTTGTTGATTTTGTATAGGTGTAGCCTAGGCAGAGTTCAATATCATTAAGTAGTAGCTAGGCCAGTATTTACTGTAGTAGGTAGGCCTAGTAATATTTTTGTTTGTATTCGGAGTCTAAGGGCTTGCCTTGCCAGGCTATGGCCCTAGGCTAGCCCTTTGCAATATCATCATCATCATCAGGGGTGGATTTATGGGGTGGGGGGGTGGCGGCCGGCCCAGCCCCGGCTCCCCCTTTTGAGAGGTAAAAAAAAGAAGGAAAGAAAAAGAAAAAAACGATAGCCCAGAACGTTATTTGCGGGCGTCTAAAACACAGAAATTTTGCGGACACGGGGCATGCCCCCGGACCTCCTATTTCAGTGTTGTCTCGATCGGCCCAAATTTTCGGACAGAGATGTCCAAAAGAGGGAGGCCCCCCGAAAAGGGGGGCCTCCCTCTTTTGGACATCTCTGTATCCGCCCTTGATCATCATCATCATCTTGACCTTAATCTTGATAGTATAATTGATAGACTCTGGGTGGAGTATCACTCAATGGTGTCATCATCGTCATTAATTTTGTATGTTTTTCTCTGAACCCGTTTTTCCTTTTTTTTTTTAAGATTCGTACTCCTGCCTCCAGCAGGGGTCCCAAGACTCCCAAAAATTTTTTTTTTTTTTTTTTTTTTGAGGTAATTGAATGGATATACAATTCCATAGAAAAGTTGATTCTATGTCACATCGCGCAATGCATAGCTACAAAGACAGTTTAAGCGCAGATGCACCAGCCTGGAAATCTTTATGCAATCAATCACTCTCTATCAAGGTCAGTAGGTATGTGCTGTCAGACAACCCCATGCACAGTGACCACAATACACTGATATGTGTGCACATCTCCATTGACGACACCCCTTCAGTAGACTTACTCTTTTAATAAAGTACAGTTTTTATGTAGACAACATTTGACACTTTTGACGTGTAAGTTTTGCTTCCTTGTTGTTTTCAAGTAGAGTACCTGGTTTAATCATATTGTGTAATTTACAAGATATACTGTATGAAATTGTATAATCCTGTTGTCTCTAATTGACATGAAACAAAGTAGGCCTATCCAAACCTAGGGCCTATAGGCCTATTTCCAGTGGCGAATTTAGGGGGGGGGGTCACTTGTGCGTAAGGGGCGTACGCCCCTCCCCCATTTTTTGCAAAGAAGAAATTACACCCACATCCTACCAAAAACACCATAGGAGAGTGCTATTCATAAATCCACTTTGTGAGAAATAGAACACTTATAATTTACTCAATGTTTAATTAATATACAGTAGCGGATTTTGTTGTTTGACAACTTTTTTAACGGATTTTAGATATTAGTTTTCCTTTTTGCTGATTTTTATGCTCAATGTTGCTGAGAAACTTCATCATGTTTTTTAGAAGTGAAATTTCTCTTTTGAAATGGTGTACATTTATGAGCCTTTGTATGTCGTCAAAGATTATGTTTGAGATGTTCGTGGAATAGGCACTAAAACCCACAGCTGTGAGTAGATGAATTATCACTAATTTAATGACACATGTCATAGTTGCATATTGTAGGTACCCTGTATATCAAAATTACTTTTAAAAGACATACACCTATTTTTTTTTTTTATTTATTTGTTACTGAAAACTACCATGCTAGATAAATCGACTCAATACAACTTCATATTCCTCAAATGTGCTGGGCCTCAAGGGGGCTTCTCCCCCTTGGACCCCCACCAGGGGCTCTGCCCCTGGACCCCGCCAGGGGGCCCTAGGCAGCCCCCCTGGCCCCCAGCCTAAGGCTGCTCGCTTCGCATAAGAACCCCTCGATTTTCATCTATTTCCATAAGCGCCCCTCAATTTCCACTCTGTTTTGATAAGCGCCCCGTCCGAATAAGCGCCCCGTTTGAATAAGCGCCCCTCAAAAAGTTCAAAAAATATTTTAAGCGTGTGGCCGCTTATTCACGCGAGCACAGTATCTAATACCTAAAAATTAAAATACTGTATGGCCATTTTCAGTCAACAAATATAAACTGCCCTCATTACTCTCATATCTAAGCAAGAAACCCTGCAATGATCATTACTGAATTGGCAGATGGCCAACACACTTACCACCACCACCAACACACCACTAATTTCATCCACTGATGTGTAAATGCTTACAACATTCTTGTCATGAGCCATTCTCTCTCAACGATTACCTTTTCTTCACCAAAATCATTTTTTTAAATCTTCGATTAAAAGAAAGTGCCCCTTGAATTTTCCAATTTCCCATAAGCACCTCTTCAATTTTCATCTATTTCCATAAGTTCCCCCTCAATGTCCACTCTGTTTTCATAAGCGCCCGTTTGAATAAGCGCCTCTCAAAAATGCCAAAAATATTTTAAGCGCCCGGGCGCTTATTAACGTATGTTTCTTCCTGGTACTCCGTAGTTTACAAAAACCAAATTTCTGATATTTATACTATTGGACAAATAAATGCTGTGAAGGCATCGCATTCACTCATTCATAAAACTTAATACCAGTGGGTGGTGGCACCAGCGGGAGAAAAGGGAGGACATTTCCAACCCCCCCCCCCAAACACCCCACCTGTCGTCAGACAAAAAATAATAACTTACCTATTTAAATAAACATTGTTAAAGTGATTGCCAATCCCTAATATTGTGGTCTAAAAGCACATTATGGGCCATACTAAGCCATATTAACTCTCCATGTGATCCTTACCAAGAATTTTTATTCTGGTGCTCTGACCGAGGCTCTTTTGGCCCCTCGGTTCCAGCTCCCCCACTCACGAATGTCTGATCACCTGTCAGCAAATTTCTGGAGCCACCACTGGAAGGCCTGCAGCATGTTAAAAACAAGAAGAATCTCCCTGAAAGTAAATTTAAATTTATAAATATTTGCATGTTTTTACTACCGTATTATCAATTGTCTTCCGGATGTCAGTGCCGATTTGTCTAAAAAGCTTGAATTAAACAGATCTTCGGGGAAGTGGCTTCTACCAACTTGAGCAGCAAGCCCATTGAAAAATGAATAAATACATTTAAATTTAAGTCTACATTTTCTTTCTGTAGGTTTGAGTTTGATGTTGCTGAAACGATACTTTGCTGGCGGACGATGTTACAGCAAAGCAAAATTGACAGGAAAAGTTGTGATAGTCACAGGAGCTAATACTGGCATTGGTAAAGAGACAGCAAAAGATTTAGCACAACGAGGTAGAAAGAAGCCTTTTAAATATGATAATCATTTAATTTTACATTTTGTTTATACTGTAGGTGGTGGCATGGTTTGAATGTAATTTTGAGCAGCAAGCCCAGGAAGTATTTTGTCACTAGTGGGCCCAGGTTTTTGGTTCATCTATGCCCTGCTATTGTAGACTTGGCTAGCGCCTTTCGGTAGCTGATGGTATCAGAGTAGCCTTAGAGAAGTAGTAAGCTGCAAGTAAAAATACATAATCTACAAAAAGGCTTGGGCTAAAGCTCTCAAATGTATTCCTTAAACTTGAATGAATGCAAAAATTATCCTCCAGAAGAACTACTAATTTTTATAACAGAGTTGTGAATAATCAAGTTTTATCTCCATGTCACTGTAGGGGCAAAGGTCATCTTAGCATGCCGTGATGTAGCCAAAGGTGTGAAGGCAGCAGTAGAAATTGGTGGTGAAAACATTGAGGTCAAGAAACTGGATTTGTCATCGCTGGAGTCTGTGCGATCATTTGCAAAATCAGTTATCGATAAAGAACAAAGATTGGACATCCTCATTAACAATGCTGGTATTTATTAATTTTGTTTCATCCTGTTGTAGTAGCCTACTCTTTTAATTCAATAGGATAATAAAAAGGATATATATAAACTAAACCAGACTTGGACCTCATAACACTAGCGGGATTAGAATATATCGCAAAGAAAAGCCAAACAAACCACTCCTCATGAAAAATCAATTTTTATTTATTAATGTAATGTAGTTCGATTTATATAGCGCTTTATAGCATAGTCTCAAAGCGCTCGAGGTGCGGACTAGCTCATACAATATCTTGTATTCCCCTAGGGTCTCTTCCTGTCTGAGCTACCCAGGAAACCCATACCAGCTATCTCTTGTCTGTCCAACAGGGTCTGTATTAACCAGTACACCGGGGTAACCTTACACATCTCGAAAGATTTACTGGATTCTTTAAGGTGCACATAAGCTTAATTGTGTACACTAGGCCTACGGTTTGTAGTCCTTATCCGAGAAGACTTGTTCCACCACCAGAACAGGCGAGTGTTCCGCTCAAACCAGTGCCGATATTATCGCTGTGCATTGAGGTGACCCTGCCTTAACCATTCAGCCATTTAACTCACCAAATTAATACAGGTTAAACAGTAATATAAAAATATTTAAATAGTTTCATCTGTTTTGCTTATTATAGCTGTAGAACTGTTTTATTCAATAGTAAACCAAGCACAATGGATCGACGAAAGCTCGCAGTAAGTTTACGGCCATTGTGCTTGGTTTTTTTATTGATTTAAACAGTTCTACAGTAATATGAAAGTTATAAAGCTATAAAAGGATCTTTTGAATCCAACATTTTGCTAGGAAGTTACAGGGGTTTAAACATACAGCTGTTTAAAGAACAGTATTTGAGAAATCAGCCTTCAGAGTTTACGATTTTGGACTCTCAGGCAGAGACCATCACCAAATCGTTAAAAAATGTTGATTTACCATTAAAAAATGGAGAAATAATAATAGTTTATTTTAGTGCAATAAAGTTGTTTTTTTTTTAAATTTTGACATTTCCACATATTTTCGCCATTATCTCCAAAATGTGATTTGCGAGGAGTGACTGGATTGGCTTCTCTGCGTCACATATATAGATATTAGCAATTGCATCGTTTAAACATTTCTTTTTGTAGGTGTTTTCATGTGTCCACAACAAGAAACAGCAGATGGATTTGAGCTGCAGTTTGGAACCAATCATCTTGGTCATTTTTTGCTGACCAACCTTCTGCTGGACTTAATGAAGAAATCGGCACCGAGCCGAATCGTGAATGTGTCATCGGGAGCTCATATGCTGGGGAAAATGCATTTTGATGATCTTAACATGAAAGATTGCTATACACCCGGTAATGCTTACAACCAAAGCAAGTTAGCAAATGTATTGTTCACAAAAGAACTGGCGAGACGACTTAAAGGTGAACTAATATTTGTATCTCTAAAAATTGACCCCAATGCCCTCTATAGATAAGTAATTTAAAATAATTAATAACTACATAGTTAGTGTCATTTGACATAGGTTGGTTATGTAATAACCTCTCTGTTAGCATCCATGAATCAGAACACTAGTTTTAAAAAGCTTTTCAAAAAAACATTTGTTTCCAGCAATTTTAGTTTGTTTTGGAATATTAACCTTCATATTTGTCATAATTTTAGGTAAAATGTTTTATGAAATTCCATTGCTCCTTAAACCAGAACATTAATGATTTACTTTTACCTTTTACATGTTCATCGATAACTATGTGTGTGGTGCCGAAAAAGTGATTAAATTGTTATCATTAATATTCGCAGAATGTTTGTTTATTTCAGGAACTGGAGTGACCTGCTATTCACTTCATCCTGGTGTTGTGAGAACTGACATTGCACGCCACCTTTTTGTTGGCTTGCGTGCAGTAGTTTATTGTGTATCTTTCATCTTTTTCAAGAATTCCAAAGATGGTGCACAAACAACAATACACTGTGCTGTTGAAGAGAGTCTAGAGAATGAAACAGGCTTTTATTACAGGTATTTCAGTTATTCATTTTACAAATTAATGTAGAGAACTGCCACAAAAACTTCCTCCTAATTTTTATTAATGTTAAAAATTTTGTACAATTTCTGTTGAGAATCATTGTCATCATCATATTCTTCATCTTAGTCTATTGTTCCACGCACGCGAAATTAGACTTTGTTTCAGTTCTGTTTCTTTTATTTACATCAAAATTGCAACCAAAGCTGAATTACATGATATTTACAAAAAATGTACATTTAAACATCAAAACATCAATCAAACACAAGCACAAGACATGAAAAATGGAAATAAAAGTAACATTAAAATGTTATGACCTCTGGGGCACGGTCCGTCGACAGCAAAGTCTATGATACGCTTCGGCCGAAAACCCACCTCAATATGCTGAAGATAGGGGAGGCAATATGGTACAGCGCATTTGCAATTGACAGTAGGCTCTAACCCCCTTTCCTGCACTCAAACTACATTCTATATATCCTTTGCAAAAAAATGAAAAGATAGTCCCATACTGTGATTTGAAAAGTTTATTCACAAATTACATATTATTAAGTGATTTAAAATGGCATAAAAAGAAGCAGTTGCTTGTCAGTTTGTTTTAAGAATACAGGTGTTAGACGTTTTTAGTGAAAATTTTGCAAATCGCATAATATTGATGGCTTTTGATCTACGTCTCTCGGAAAGTGATAATTTGTTTAATCCTTTTAAGTGAGCAATGATATTTATTTAAGTTAAATTTTTAAAGGTTTTTCCACATTATACCATTCATTATCCTTATTATAAAGTGCTATTTGATATATTCTATTTAATTTTGTTCTTTTCCATCCAGTGACTGCAAGAGAGTGAAGGCATCACGAAAAGCACAAGATGAGGAGGCAGCAAAAAAGTTGTGGGATATGAGCGCCCAGATGGTTAACTTGGATGTTAAAGAAGACTAGAAACTTGTAAGCTAAGTTTATGGTGCCCCTTGAAGTCAACTGACATCAACTGACCTTTGGCAACTGGCCAAAGATTAAGAACAAATCTGTGAAAAGAATGGTCTGGGGCGACATAGCACTCTTGTGTTGGGAAGTAACTGAAGAATCAGCAAAGCACTGACCAGCTCATGTTATACTAGATCCAAAGCAACTTGGAACAAGCAATACACCAATTCTGCTACATTCATGTACGGTTATGTGATGTATAGTGGGTATAAATTGTAAACAGGCAGCGCGAGTAATCGGTAATAGGAAAACGTGTGGCTTCTTCAGAGTGTCTCTGCTGTAAACCACATATTTGAAGTTGAATAATGTTGGTTGGAATGCCAGTAAACTATACCAAATTTTATTAGAAATTGAACATAATGGTTTGCTATTGCTCCAAAAGTTACTGGCCCTAAACATTGAGATTTTTCGGGAAATGCTAGGCCTAGGCTATGCTACAACATGTTTAGTATGCACAAGTCTTTGATTCGCGAACGATTTCTAGGCTAGCTACGGTTTACTGAGGATCACATAAATTCGAAAGCATGCAGAGCACAGAGACATTAGAATAAGTAAATAAACGCTATTTTGAACTATCATATTTCTTTTTTCCTTGCCAGTTATTTCTCACGTTAATAGTGGGCAGTTTTCACAACCATATCATTACCCTTTCTTATACTTTCACACTGATCTCACTGTAAGTTCTTCATAATTATACCCAATATATGTCACATGACCAGTAGTAAACAAACCTTGCTGGATTGGTGTATTGAAATTTATCATGTGACTAATAACCCAGCAAATATAGTCTGCTTGCTGTGTGTGCGCTGCATTACAACTATTTATAGATAATCTACAGTTGAAAGCGACAAAAGCACTCTTGGCAACTAGTATACAAATATTGACTGTTCATGAGGGGAATGGTGAATCTATTGCCCCGAGGTAATGTGGAGACCATAGCCTACCACCTTCCTGAGGCAGTCCGAGGGAGGAGGGTAGTAGGCCTTCACGTTACTGAGGGACGATAGATTTCACTGTTCCCCAAATCTAGAGCAGTCAATATTTGTTTTATATACCTCATACATAGATTCTACAATGCCTACAAAAACTTCAATAATGAGTACCCACCAAGTAGGCCTAGCCCAGGCCATAAGCCTACTTCCTAGGCCTGACCAGTCAAAGGTCAATTTCTCTTGTCGTAGAGGTCGCAGTGTATGGGGCTTGAAGATTACATTGCGACAGGGCAAAAAAATACTGTCATTTAAACGTGATAGTACTTTTTTCCCCAGGAATCTATGAACTATCATTCAAACCTACGTTGTGGGGGGAGTGATGGTTGAATACCTGCTTTTTAACCTATCAGATGCCTAGAATTTATGTATGCAGTATATGGTTCTACCTAGTCGTTTGCAGTTCTGTGTAGATGCACGATAGTTGGTAGAAGTCAACATGAGTATAAGCGTCAAGTTTCAACTAGTTGAATTTAGTGGAGTCGCAAGGGGCGGGTTGAGCTTAGCTTTACACTTCTATTCAAATACATATTTTGATTAATGATGTATCAGGAGAAAGTAGGGTAGATGAATGCTGGTTGATAAGCCAAAACTAGAATTATGTTACATTCCTGTTACAATAGATATTTTTGTAATGTATGAAACTTATTTTTGAAAATTATATTTGAAAACAAATGAATTTTTATTGCACATGTGTATTAAAATTTAGAAAATGTAGTAGCAAAATTATGGAGTATAAACACTATGTATATGGCAAAAAATGGTATAAAAGTTAAATAATAAATATAATTTGCTATGTTCTTTAGTTTAAAGCTTAAAACTAGCTTTTCGATTGTGCTAGATGATGTTTAAACGTGGCTGGAGGTAATAATGTAAAGCAGATAGAGGCTGTTTATTGCAATATGCCCTATATACTGGTACTGTAATGATTTGATTTACTTCTATTTCAGTGCAAGTGCCAATATGAAAATGAAAAATAACATGATGAGATATTACAATAATTATTACAATAATTATTATATTTTTAAATTTTTACATGTAATTGCATTATATTCAATCAATAAAATTTTAGAGAATACGGTTATAGCATCATGTTGCTGTGTTGGAGCACTATTTTAATTATTTATATGTTTATGCTGTGTTTACGGTACTGTGCAGCACACTTGCTGTCTACAAGCTAGTTGAATTAGCTTTATCATAGCTTCACTATGGGTGAGCTCAAAAGTCCAGTCCAGTACCTGGGGTTAGGTATCCTCACCTATGATGATGTCATATAGGTATATGTGGTCTAGCAGTATAGCACATGCCTTCATAGCTGCGGTTGCAGGTTCAAATCTGCCATACATCTTTTTCATACAACGTAAAAAAAACAGTCATAAAACACTTCATAAAACTTATGTTTACAAGTTATATTATTAAACACAATTAATATATAAACAGATTGTGTTTGTTTTTTTTTTTTGGGGGGGGGGTTATGAATTCAGAGGGTTAGAAGAAATTGTATAAAGTTGCTTATGAATGTAAGCAGAAGTTTCAGGGGGTTGAGAAAAGCCAGTTTTGACCCAGTTAATTTTGTAGGAAAAAAAATTAAAATGGAGAAAAGGCATTCTGAGAGTGCTACTTCCAGTCATCTAGAGACTCAATACGATGATGTCAAAAAAATGGAAATACTCTTCTAGGGGGCGGATATGTGTTGATCATATTTTGGTCAAGACGTGCACTTTTGGAAAGAATATAATAATACAATAAAAACAACAATAATAATAACAGCAATAATAATAATTAGTACAATGTAGTACCAGTAAATGACTTGTGGCCGAGTTGACTTGTGGCCGAGTTGATTTGTGGCCGAGATGACTTGTGGCCGAGTAGCCAAACTTTTTGTGGCCGAGTTGACTTGTGGCCGAGTTAACTTGTGGCCGAGTTGACTTGTGGCCGAGTTGACTGTGGCCGAGTTGACTTGTGGCCGAGTTGGATCGAATTCGTCAAAAGCACCATAGCATACATCTTCATTGCGAAAATGCAAAATCAATATTCAAAATGGCCGCCAAACACATTTCTAGTATTAAAATTACTGCGAGTGCCCTATCTACCATGACCTTATGTGTCCACAGCAATGCTTTAGATCAAGTAATCCAATTGATCATATAAAGTAATATATATATATATAAATATATATATATATATAGATAAATTATAGAT